ATAAATGCTGGTCTAAATTAAGAAATAATCAGATTATCCCTCACATAAAATCTTCTGTTTGTATACATAGGACATTTATTAATTGACTTGTTTAAAGCATTATTTTGGCTGTCCAATATAAAATCATGGAAAGGACCAACAACATATTCCAAACTGTTTATACACCAAAGGAATAGTATATAAGTTAATAAATTTCTCCTTATGTTAATCAGCTGTTGTCATCATTTCACAGAGATAAATAGAAACTTTCTTCCTGAAATGGAACAGCACACAGGAAATACATCAGACTTCCATTCTTGGCTCAGATACTGTTTATATCTTAATTTCCAGCCCACATAAAGTCGCTTTCTCACTACTCTACTAATAACTGGATAGCTTCTGTTCATTTTAAACTGTTTTCCACATGCCATTAAGATAAAGTGCTTATTACGCATTTTATTCAGTTCTAAAATTTCAAGAGTGAACCACTGACTCATTCTAAAAATGTCTTCATCTTTAGAAATTCTTTAGGGCTATAATTTCTAGGTAAATCTGATTAGTAGAATCTGATCTTTGAAATACAGAACAAACTCGAGTAAACAATACTGGTGTTTCCTACTCATTCCTGGTTCTCTTTATGTAAAGTGGAACATGAATGGGGGTTATAAAACTGATAGGAAATTTGTGGATTACATACACACACATCACAATTCTAGTAGGGATGGAAGAGAAATCCAGAAACCTCTGCATAACCACAATGAACTTTGCCTGGTGACATTTTGAGTTAATATCCACACATTATGGAAGGCCCTTTATCATTCATACATCATCCATGATTGCTTGGGGTCTGTTGAAATTGTTTTAATATACCTTACCTCTTAGGAGAAAGTTCCTCTGTCAGAGTGTTTTCACTTGACACCTTTTCCTTTGCCATTTGATAGTATGAAATAGTGGTTGTGAGAACAGATAATTACATTGAGTTTTTAAAAGTTAAACAGGAAGAAATACAGTCCTTTTCCCAAAAGAGAAATGGTGTATTATATCTACACCATTGGTCAAGTTGATCGTTATTGCCTGCAATTTAGTTGTGGAAAATATGAAGGAAAGAAAAGCCCCAAAGAAAGCCAAGTAGGTACTAAGATATAACCATGGCTTTGAAGTCTATAAACAGGAGCAATGATACCCATAAATTTTTGTGACACCTTCAAAAAGAAGTCTCCTACAACCCATAATCAGTCAGTGGCAAATTTCATGGGAGATGTACATCACAGGCTTTTTATACAGGTGGTGCCGGAGTGTGTGGTGGCTAAGGGGAAAGGCTGGGTCCCACTGCTTGTGACTCCATGGCTTCCCTACTTACCTGCAATGTGATATGGGGGCAGGGTAACTAACCTTCGAAGTCTTGATCTCCTCTTTAGTAAAACAGAAGTAATAATACTTTACAGATTTATGAGAGTATTCAGCAGAATAAGACATAAACTGCTTAGCACCATGCCTGGCACACATAGGTATTCAGTAAATATTAGCTACTCTCTCCATAGGATTCAGTTTCCGAAGGAAAATCAGATTGGATATTAATGATCAGGAACTGGATTCTGGAAGCTCCAAGTCATTTGTTAATTGGCCAGGCCTTGGTGGGTCTTTTATTTTTAAGTATGATACATGAATAATTTTAAACTATTTCAGGTGCTTAGTAAGGGGCAAAAGCCATGATTATGAACTTTGGCTGCATACTGAATGACCTGGGGACTCCAAAAACTCTGAAGGCCAGATTACAGCCTAGACTAATTAAATCAGAGTCTCTGAGAGGGGCGTAGCAAGCCATCAGAGTATTTTTAATAATCCTCAGGTGATTTCAGAGAGCAACCAAATAAAGTTCTCATTTGCTCTAAAATTTTGAACCCACTATGTTGTTGCATTAGAGGTTTCCACCTTAAATAGGTAGCTGAAACAAACAGTAACAGGTTGGTGCCAAGATGAAGTTTTCCATGGAGACTGCAAGAATTCTCTAGAAGATAAATCTAAAGAACACTGATTTTCACCTGTGCCACTTTATAGGCATCTCAGCAAGCTCTATATTCTTGGCAAATCCCTGTAGAGAGAGTCTGTTGTAAGGAATTAAAACTCACTAAACTGGTATACATTAGTACTTGGTATTTTTCTCACAGCAAATTTATTAGTAGCATGTGCCAGAACATGTGTAAATTCTACCAGCCTCTGAAGCTGAATTCCAGAATATCAATGAAACCTTATTAATCGATTGACTTATAGCCATTGTGTCAGCCTTTAATGAAAATCCAGGATTGGCTGGAGGGAGAGGGGAAGATGGAGTTATTGTTTAATGGGTACAGAGTTTCAGTTTGGGAAGATGAAGAAAGTTCTGGAGATGGATGATGGTTACACTTATTTTTCCGTGTTCTTTTGTGTGATGGTCAGTCAGGTGCAGCCATAGAGGAGACAGGAGACACTCAGGGAAACAAGGTTATCATCCTCCCAGGTCTGAGAAGCAGGAAGCACTGCAGAATACAGGGCCACGTGGGCAAGTGCTAGTGCAGGTCAGGAGACAGAAGGAGCAGGAGCTAGGGGAGAGCTGGGTCGTGGCCTCTGTTCGTTTCCAAGGGAAAGGCAAAGCAGGGTAGCATGAACAGTTGAGAACTGGCTATTTTGAATCATTTCTGCAAGCTCTATACTGCAGGGGTGGCTCAAAGTTGCCTGGGGCCAGGGCCCTGGAATGATTAAAGCCAAGGAATGCTGCCTCCTGGGGTCCAGGGCCAGACTGAGAAGCTCTGGATTGATTAGTCTGCATGTCAGAGAATTGCTCCAGGGTGGGCCCTTGGCTCTCTCTAAGAATTGGTAGGGGGCAGTCTCTCCCCAGCCAGAAAGGTTTTCACTAGGTCAAAACATCATAATATACAAAAAGTAAAAATATAAACCATATAGAGTTGCACAACAATGTGAATGTGCTTAATGACACTTGAAAATGGTTAAAATGGTAAATTTTATGCTATGTATAATTTGCACTAAGAAAAACCAAGCAAACCCAGGGTCCACAAGATCAAAAATGGTGAACTCTAGGCAAAAGACAAGAACCAAAGAAAAAATAATGGGGAGGGAAGAGAAGATGAAACTTTTATCAAGAACTTCAAGGGTCTCTGAAGTATGTCTCTTTTCCAAGTGCAAAAGAAGAAGTTGTCTTCTACAACATATTGGCCACTTTCTGAAATGCAAATTTTAAGCATCTCTAAAAATTAGTCAGCATAGTAAAAGAAAAGGAAAGGAAGAAAATAGTACAAATAGTACAGGATTGCTTCATCCTCTAAAACCATTTTTCACTTCTCATTGGTCTGCCACACACTAAAAAGATCAGGAGCTGGTGTGGGTTATTCGTCATTGAAAACCTGACTCATCTTCATGTGTGACCCTTGACACTAGAGTGCTGAGCCCTCCCACACGGCCCATTGGGCTAGCCAGTTCAGTGTTATATTCTTTGGCGAAATTAGATTGTAAACTAAGCCACAGACTTTTTATAGAGCAGAATGCTCAGTTGTATGTGTGTGTGTCTGTGTGTGTGTTGGGGGGAGAGTAGTGGCTAATATATTTTAATCTATTGGATTTATGGACACTATTATCCTGAATTCCTAAACTCCAAAATCACTCCTTAAATATGCCATATAAGTACTGTATATTTCTCATCCAAAAGTTTTGCTGACAAGAAGAGTATTGCTCCATTGCCTGTCCCCACCTAACTTTTCTCTTCTCTCTGTAATCAGGGAAGTCCACCAACAGGTCCTTTTTTTCCCTTACTCATCTGCCAAGTCTTTTCTCCATTCTCTAAGCCAACATTCTCTGGCATAAACACCTATGGCTGCCAAACCTTCCCGATATTGCCCTAACGTAAGCAACCCAAAGGTGACTGCTCTCCCTCCCTGCAGTTTGCTTTGTATGCCCAGTTGCCAGATGCCTGCAGAGTAAGTACCAGGCAAAAAGGAAATAAACCATTCCTTCTGGCAAGGGGAATGGAGGGCAGAAGGAATAGCTCTCTAACTCACTGGCTACTTTGGTGAGAAAGTTCCTGGAGTTTTATGAAGGACCAGTTTTAAATGACTGGGTGTGCTTTACATGTTTCCCTCCTTTCTGTAAGCTGTGTGGACGTGTTTGATGTTTATCAAGCATGTACTGTTTCATTTTTTTCAATCTGACCAAAAAGTTGTGTTCTTCTCTAAATATGTAAGAAACCAGATGAGGGCCATTGTACCGCTTTGAAAACATTGGCCAACGTGTGAAGATGTGTCAGCTTTCCAGTGTTTAGGGCATTGTTCTGAAGACCTTTGCTCTAATATGGGCAACCTGGATGTAGCACATGGTCAGCACTGCTCTGCTGTCAGGGGGATTGGAATTTATGCCCTGAGTCGGCCACTAACCAGCCCCAAGAACTCAGGCAAGTCACTTAAACTTCTCTGCACCACGGCGTCCTCATTGGTAAAATGGCTCTATTAACAACTAACACTCAGGGCACTTACTGAAGTAGCTGACATAGATGGCTTCCTGTCATCCTCCCAGCAACCCTAGGAAGTAGGTATTGTTATTATTATCACCCATTTTAAAGATGTAGAAACTGAGGCACAAAGAGGTTAGTTTTCTAACCTATGGTCCCAAAGCTCTACATGGAGCCGGATTCAAACCCAGGCAGTCCTATGGCCAGAACACACGCTCTGTGTGCCCCTGTCTCACTGAACTGTGACCATTAAAGCAGACTCAGTATTTGGAAGTAAATGCAACATGGTGTTATTATCTGTCCTGAAGCTTCCTTCTTCATCTGTTGAAAGGAGACAATACTTGGGTTTCAGAGTATTCGTGAGGAATAAACACGTGCGAGAGGTGTGAGACCTGCTACCCACTCTCACCACCACAACCACACACAAAACACAGTTTGCTTTCCAGTCTTAAGAAATTGCGAATGGTCTAAGCCTGTCCACTGCAGCAAGGTAAAGCTAACATCCTCTCTCTTTTCCTTCCTACAGATTTTTGCATATATGAATGAAACCTCCCGAAAAGAAAAGTGGTACCTCCAAGCTCTTAGATTTTTATCAGTTAATTCAATAATCGACCCTTGGGTCTTTGCCATCCTGAGGCCTCCTGTTCTGAGACTCATGCGTTCAGTCCTCTGTTGTCGGGTTTCATTAAGAGCACAAGATGCAACACAAACTTCCCGTTCTGCTCAGTTGAATGTCGGTAAATAGGCTGACCCTTGAGGACAGCAATTAAGGAGTGCTTATTAGCCAGCCTCTGGAAGATCATTTTGAAATGTTTCCTTGGCAAAATGGGAAAAAGTTAGTTTTTAAACACACTGAAGCTACCCTGATAAAACAGAGTGAAAAAAGCATTTCAGCAGTGGCGTGGGCTCCAGACATGCTGACGAGGCACTTTATGGAAGGTGTCAGAAGGATCTGTAAAACCTACCCTCAGTGAGCATGTTCCATGGCCTTTAGAAGAACAACCAACAGCACTTAAGATCCAGTGCCTTTTGATGTCAGCTTTCCTGTTGAATGAGAGCATGTGGTTTTGTAATTTGTTTAAAACCCCTAAAAGTCACTGTGTTTTCTATTTTAATCTTCTAGGCTAGTACCATTATAAACATGCAGTGTACAGTCAGACCAGATAAAACGTCTTACATATTCTCTAGGAAGTGGGTATGTGGAAGCAACCAAGCCTGGTGTCCCGTTACTGCTTAACAATGAGTTTGAAAATCACAGGTACTTTGTACTGTAACGTTTGTGTATGTGGGAGTAGTCTCTCATCATGACAGTATTACTCCTGAAAGAGTGGACTCAGCTGGTTAACATCAGCCTTTTTACCAGTCCGCCAGAAGCTGTGTGTCAGAATGTCAGGTTATTTATTTTATAATGTCCATTGTGCTACTTGTAACCAAGAAGACTAGGAATTTTCCTCTCAACAATAAATAGTAGGCTATTAAGAGAGAGAATTCCAATTAATACTCTTCATTCTATTTTCAGGGAAAGGTATATGCAGCTATGAAGCCAAATATTAGGATTAAAAACTGAAAAATCTGGGCAATTCTTCAGATACACTATAATTTTTAATCCCAACGTTGAGGCCATGACTAACATCCACTTTATAAGATGACTGTGTTGTAGCAAAATTCATCTACGTGTCTATATTTTTATCTAGGAAACATGGCTTGACTCATACTATATAGGAAATCATGTAACAGTGAGTCATGTCTTAATATATTTCTAAATCTAAATATTTGGGATGGTGGAAATTTGGCATCAAAATATTTCAGTGAATTTGCACTGTTTAATCATATCTTAGTTACAGTGTAAACTGATCTGAAATGTTACAAACATAAACTATAAAAGAAAAATTTGAAATTGGAATAGTATTTGATGAATCCCTGGCAAATAGCATTTTATAATTAGTGTAGATATAATAGTTTTTTAAACAAGAGATAAAACTAGAATTTTTTTTTAATTTGGCAGGTTTTTAAAATTATGGTTGCATTGTAAATTAGAATTTAAAATATTCAATACAGTACTTGGCATTAGAGGGGTTTTTTTCCCTTATAGCATGTTCTTCAAAATAGTGGAACCACCTTATTTTTTTGCAGTGTTATTACAACATAGCTGTTATTTAAAAAAAAAAAAGGTTAGTTTTTTCCAAACCCTCATTGAGTTGCTTACGTAAAACCATTTCCTATAAGTAGTTATCAGATTAGATCATCACTTGCAAGTGATTCCAAACCAATCTAGAAGTCAGTGTATTTTGACACAATCTATGTCAAATCAGCCCTTATTTTAAAAAGAATAAATAAACGGTATGCTTTTCTACTAATTTAAACAAACCAGGCAAAATTTAACTTAGCTAAAATCTGGACGTATAAATAAATCTTCCCTGTCCATCAAGTATTCTAAAGTTAAGAAATTGTTCTAAATAGGACTAACTAGGCTCATGGGTAATTCCTAAACATAAAATTCTGAAGTTTCTTTGAATCTGGAAGATTGATTTCTTTTATCAGATGACTTCTTTTTCCTCCAGATGAAAATGTTAACTACAATCATTTACCCTACCTCACCACCCCCAAAATTCTGGAATAATGCCTGAGAACTTAAAAAAAAAGCAAAGAAAAGCACAAACTGGGACATAATACCAATGGTGGGGACAAAATGATTCATTCTGCGGGCCCAAAATATAAGGATTTAAACCGTTTATTTAAGAACTGGTAGATTTCCAGAGCTTTGTTTCTTAGTGTACGCCTGTTTCTTGGACTGAGTTAAGTAATTAAATCCTGTTCTTTCATTTGCATTGACACATAGAAGGAATTAAAAGTTCCTTCCGTAATAGTCATAATCTATACAGTAAAAGTAATAGTCAGTCACTTACTATTAAAGGCAATTTCAGGTAACAGAAAAAGTTACTTAGATTGGATATATAAATATTTCCTTTTTAAAAATCACATTGCATCAGACACACCTGTTTTAGTTTACAGATTCATTTTCAAGTTTAATTTAAAAAACAGAAATTAGCCTGGTATATCAGAGAACTAAATTGTGATGAAAGAAGACATAGATTTTATTCTTTGTCCCTGACGGCCAGTGGAATGAGAAGGGGAAAAAGCTATAGTGAATTTTCAATTCAGAATGCCAGCCCTAACTTTAGGTGTCCAGAAATGGGATGGGCCAGAGCTGTCTGCCCTGAGCTGAATTGTTTCTGGATGGTTCACTGAAGCCCCAGGTCATCTTTCCCAAGAGAAAACTGGGAAATTCTGATACTAAATTGTGGCCTTGAATCTCCAAAGAGCCTGATGGGGCCTGAGTTTGCTTAGAAACCATAGAAAGCCTCCAAAAGACTTGAATCTCAAAGTAGTCTAGACCCATAGCAACTTAGAGCCAGACCAAAGCTGTGGAAACAGCACCAACCTCAAACCGCCACGCTGGTGGGCAGGGGGAGGGCAAGCCCCATCCACATCACTCCGTTCTCAGTGTGATTCAGTTCAGCTCTAGGTGCCCCTGACTGCTCACCTCAACGCACTTTGAAAGAAGAATTGTCCTCATGTGAATGCAATGTCAGCTCTGCTTTGAACCAAGAAAAAAACATCTTCAATTTAGAATTTGATGACTTTGAAAGACAGGGGAAGACAATTAGCTCACACTTAAGTAGCGGTTTGTTTACTTCCCTTAGCCAAACCTAATGGTTTAAGCCAAATATAATGGTTTTCTGAATTTGAGAAAAGCCCCCACTTGAGTCATTCACAGATAGAGAAACAGTCTTCCCCGTGAATGATCATTTATAAATGTGGACCTACAGTGCCTACTCCTCATGACCATCTTCTGCTTTTACGAGACACAACTCCATTGGAATTCCTCTCTGAGTGCACATTTAAAGCATACCTCCAATCATTATACTCATAGCTTTAGAACTGATTTTTTTTTTAAATTTACAAAGCATTTGATCACCTGAAATACACACTGTGGAAATAAATGTTATCTTCAGCAGTTCATAAAAGCTGTCGTCTAACTCATGCATGGGAAAAAGGCCATGTATTGGGCATTAATTTTTATTTCAGAAAGTTACTTGTTTTTTCTGGTGGATTTTGTGATTTTTACTCTAAGTAAATTTTCTTGAATTATATTTTTGTATTTCCTATAAAATGTATGTGCTATTAAAGGTCAGTTTGGGCGGTTTAATCCTGTGGTCTTTGCATTCCATTTTTTAAAATCGGCCAAGTCAAACATATCGGTGGTGATTGTAGCAGAAAGAGATGGCACACTCAGAAGGGTAACTGAAGGCTGTTGAAGGAAAGGAATAGTTACAGAGGGATGGGCGGGGCTTAGGGAGTCAGCAAGGGATGGAGAAAGGTACCTCCTTGGAAGCTGTTACGACTCCCAGGCCTGAAGGGACAAGGGAGGAGCAGTGAAAGCTCTATAAGCTGCCACCCAGCAGAAGCTGTGGCCCTACGTAGGGAAGCACGGCTGCAGCCAAACCACAGGGAGGGAGGGAGGGGACTGCCTTCCCAGGGAATCTTCCTGCTCTTCTGCCGACCCTCCCACTGGCTGAACCAGCTGTGATCCAGAGAGTGAAGGGAACCATGAAGGCCACCGTACAGAGGGAGAGGAGATTTAGAGGGCAGATGAAGAAGATCTAGCATCAGCAGGTTAATAATACCCTCTCCTGAAAATCACACCAACGCAAAAATTGAAACCACAAAGTGAGCAGCCTCTTCCTGCCTTCTACTCCAAATGGATATCCTCCAGCAAGTTTAGGGAATAGGAATCAGCCTCATCTGTATGGAAAGGGGTAAAATACTACCAATGCCTCTACCAAAATATTTGCCCTAGACCCTGCCTGCCCCCCCACCGAGTCTCAGCACTTACATTTATCCAACCCTGGAGGCAGTTTATATGATGGAAGAGAAAGGAGCTCAGAGGAAGCATCTTTCTGCTTTCCCTGCCCGCAGCGGTACAGCATAATAGCTCTTTCTAAGCAGAACAGGGGGATAGCCATGGATCCTGGTCTAGAAGTGAGCCCAAGCCTTTTAAGAAGGACCACTGGGGTGAGAAAAACCTCATTAAGTGCTGAGGGCAAGTTATATCCCCAAATTTAACATAAACTGGAATGGGTCTACACAGCTATTACCAATATCACAGCTATTATCAATATTATATTATTTATATTATTTATTTTATTATATATAGCAATGCAGCAATTCTGTATAGTTAAAAATGCTAATAAAAATACCAAGAGAAAAGCAAATATTAACAAAATGGGAGAAGTGGACAAAGTATGGCTCCCAGGGCCATCTGTCCCTGTTGCCCTTTCTGCTACCATAGGACCTGTCTTTCCTCCTCTTTACTCTTCCCCCTTCATCCCCTCGGGGAGCACGCTTTTCCTAGCATAGACTGTACCCTCCCCCTCCACTGGCCCTTGTCATCTCTGATGCACACACTCAAACTTACCCCCTTCAGCAAACTCTAGATTTATCCAGGGGGATATTAAAGATGTGTCAGACTGCTGGGGGGAAAGGGTTCTCAAATGAGTTATTTAGCCTCTCTGTCTCTCAGTTTCCTCGTCTATAAAATTAGGATAATACAATTTTCCACCTCCATAATTACTCAGAGGATTAAATGAATAAATGCCTGCAGGACATTCAGCACAGTGCCTGGACACGTAAATGCGAATAAGATTGGGGTTAGTATTTTCTTAGATACCCAGTTCAGTGGCCCCTCGGACCACTTCACACATGTCTGACTCAGATTGCTCATTCTTGGTGTGGGTCATGGTGCTGGGGTCATGGTATCTATGAACTCTGGGCAGCTGTCAAAAACGATGATGATGATACACGTGTGGGATAAACTCCATTGTATTTCAAAGAATGCAATGAAGATGGACACACATGGGGCGACGTAGAGGTTGTATAAGCATGAAAGAGAGGAGATCAAAAGAGACAGAAAGACAGCAGGACACAAAACATGGCCCCTGTCCTCTCAGTGGAGCCAAGGAAGGCAGCGAGAGGGGACAGCACCTGAAGCGTTATTCAAACAGGGCATATTGAATGCTGGGAAACACAACTCTTACCACAAAGCTGAAACTGAGCAGATTTCATCACATCGTCTTCTAAAGATCCCTAGAGGAACTCCAGCCACGTGCCACATTTGAGCTTTCATGTTCCTGACACCAGTGCCCAAGACTTCTCTAGGCAAAACATTCCAGCTGTCTTCACCTGTGCCTTAGGTGACACCTCACCATTGTGGTGCCCTCCTCCAGATCTGATTCAGGTTATCAGTGTTCACGTAACATGTGGGCCAGAAGCGAACACCGAGAAATAACTCTAAACCAGTCTTACCAGTAGTGAGTGCTGATGTGTCAGTTGCTGGCTTGACCTGGACATTATCTTTCCATTAATGCAACCTGAGATTACGAAGCTTTATTAGCAACTGGGCCATACCTTTACTTCAACAAATGAAAGAAGCACCGGCTTTCTACTTTACAGAGAGGAAAAGTGGGCATGCCAGAGTGAAATGAGTTGCAAAGGACATCCTCATAAGATGCCCTTACGATCATGGTGCCGACCTTGCTGCCCGACACCATACAGCCATTTGGTTTCTTATTATCGTTTGCCTGTAAGCACTTGGATTGGCTTTGTAGACTAAGATGGGGAGCTTTGAACTTACCAGCCAAGCCTGGTCTTTTGTGTTAATGACTGGGCCCTTGAGACGATGTGGAACTAGGGGTCAGTGTCGGACCCTAAAGAGTCATTTTTCCCTTGAGAATGGAACTCACTGCCTTTAGTTATCAGATGATATTTTTGCTGCAATTAACTGTCCAAGACTCATCTCAGTCCTAAGAGTGTGCTTGATACGTCACAATAAATTAAACATTTAAAAAGTCAACAGCTGCACAATTAAACTTTGAAAACATAGTTGAGACTATCTTTCAGCTCTTAGAAAACTCAACATGTCCACATTGTAAAGAGCTCAGAGGAACAAGCCAAAGAGCTTTTGAAAACTCAACATTAACTTTTTATGTTTTTAAAAATAAATGTCCTCATGTTACTTGTAAAATGAAAGACACAGTAACCAAAACACGGCGGGCTGAGTACTGTGGTGTGCTACCCTTTGACCTGTAAAAATGAATCTTCCTTGCGTGAGTAGGTGTTCCGATAAAAGGCAAGCTTAACTGTAAACTAGAGATTTTCATTCTCTTTACTACCTATTATGGTGACTGGGGAGTCGGACGCCCACTTCTGAGAGGAAATGCTAGCTCAGATGTTCACATCTTCCTGTGAAGTGCCAGTTTGGAAAACTAAGGAAATTGGGGAGAGTCAAATTCCTGTCTTCTACGTGTCTTCTGTGTTCTCCATTAAGTTACAGTGAACCACAGTGGCTGCAAAGAAATACTAAGTGAGGAAACACAGGTACCTTGTGTTATCAGCACTGAGGACTTTTTAAAATAATTTCTTGCCTTTAGTTGATCTACTTGAGCATGTTAAAATACTACTATTTAACATCGTTTGTAACAGGAATTGGGGATTAAGAGACTAATCCACATGGAGGGAAAACAACCTGATCACTGTGTTTTTAAAACAACACCCTAACCAACACCCTGAGAGGTTGAGTGAAGTGGTGAAACTGGGGTTGGAGTGCAGATGGCTGATCAGAGAGATCTTCCCTCTGCACAACGCTTCTCCCCTCCCGATGCCCCTCCCACCTCTGTGCCCACTGCTCAACTCCAGCCATACAGCACAACACAGAGTGGCTGGCCCACACTAGCAAGCTCCCATTTCAGGGTCATGGCCCTGTCTGCTGTCTCTGCCGGGAATAAATGCTCTTCCCGCAGACAGCCACGGCTCACCTCTTCACTTCCTTAGCTCCTTCAAAATGTTAACGCCAGTGACACCTTCTCAGTGAGGCCTTCAGTGACCACCCTTCTTAAAATCCACCCCCCTTACACTCTCTAGTCCCTTTACTCTACTGTATCATTTTTCAACGTGAACGACCTGAAACATACCTCAAGGTTGGCATATTTATAACATTCATGGTCTGTGTCCTTGCACTAGAATGTGAGTTCCAGGAGGTAGAGATTGTTGTCTGTTTTGTTCTGATGTCCAGTGTTACAGTATCTTACAGTGGCCAGATATTCCTTACACTTGTATCTTGTAATTGCGTCTTACAGTTGTCAGGGCCTCCTTTTTTTTTTTATTAACTCAATATATTATTCTTAAGATATTCTGAAAATTATCCAATGCTATGGATCGAGCATTATATATAAAGATCATTTAATCTTCAAAATACCAGTATCAATTCCAGTCCAACACTATAGAGTTCATTCTGTTTTTTCTCTTTTTTATATTTCTCCAACAGTGACAAGCATGGTTTCCATCATCCTTAATGTATTTGCTTGTTTGATAAATCCCTCCATTAGTAATCAGTCTCCCATCTCTACCATCACCCCCTCCCCACAGTTCTGTCCTCCTACTCAAGCTCTCACTCCCCAATCTGACGCCAACTGCCCCACATGGACACCACCCCCATTCCACTTGGGCTCTGACAGCCCATGCCCCAACACCCCCATAAATGCATGCCCTTCTTTTCCTGCTCAGGCTCCCAATCTTGTCGCTGGGACATCCCCTTGCAAGGATGCCCTACCCTCCCGCTCAGGTGTGCCCTCCTACATCAGTTCACCCCTGGGCAGAGAGCCTCCTCATCCCCCTTGGGCTCTGATAACCCACGCAAGGCTGCCCCTCTGAGTGGCCAACCGCCTTGCTCCTCATCCTGTTCAGGCTTCTGCACCCTGATGCCAGGTCACCTTCTCCCACCCCATCTGGGCTCTGACTCCCCACACTGGCTGACTCTCCCTGTGTGGGTAACCTCTTCACCCACTCTGGGCTCTGATACCTCACTCCACGCCGACTTCTGTGGGGACATTCTAGTGCCTAGTCCACTAGGACTTCACCTCCCACATGGCCCCACCCACTGTGTGGACACATCCTCACCCTGCCTGGGCTCTGACACTCCACATCAGGCTCCCCTGCATGGGCTCCCCTACCCTGCTCAGGCTGTCACATCCCCCAGCCTCAGACGCCTACCTTCCTCTGCCCCACCTGCTGGGCTTGGGATTGAGTTGTTCAGAGAGGCGGGGAAGAGAAAGAGGAGGAGGAGGAAGATGAACTATTTTAAGTCTTTCAGAG